GAGGTTCAAAAAACCATCGTCCAGTATGAGGAGGAGATCAACCGTCAGCACAGACTGCTGGATATCAGCCGGACACCCGACAGAAACTCACACATCATAGGTATGGACGTGTTTTTAACTCTGTGCTGTTCAAGCTCAGATTCTTCAGTGTGACTGACTTTACTAGAAGATGTTAAACTGTGTGTTCCAGGTTTACTGTTGTTTGTCAGCATTTCGACAAAACTCCGGACGAAAATTGGAGTTTAAAAAGACCCGTGTTCAGACGTAAACACTACGACATAAATAGTCAGTAAGATTAAAAAATATAATGCTAATAATCAAATAACAGGATTTCAGTTGTTGGCCAGTATAGCCACCAGCTCAGCCTGTAGATTAGTGAGTTAGAACTAAGAAACTATTCGCTGTTATTTATTTATTTATTTATACTTACTGACTAAATTCAAACAGACCTGAGTTTACTTCAAAGGCTGAGCAGATGTAGGACAATTCAGTGTTTCCACAAACATGAAGAGATGTTTGTGGAAACACTGCAGGCAGACATGTGACCAAAGGCCATGATGTTACTGTAGAGACAGACTGACCTGCCTGTCAGGTCAAATGTGCAGTTAGTTTGTAGTAAAAGACTAACTATGATTAATCATTTCCCTAACAATCACTGCACCCCCACTCAATTTTAGATAGTCAGTGCACTGGTTTACATGCTGACACACCTGAGTGACAAACCGTCTGTCAATTAAATCATCACGTTATTCATCAAACCATTCTGCTTCCCTGAGAATCTTTTTTGTTGTGTTTACATTCTCAGGCTGATTGTACGCACATCACCACTTTAACATCCTGTAAATTGCATCTGTCTGTTGATTTTGTTAAATGAGTTGTGTTATTGTTGGGATCCATGTGAGCAGCTGGTGAACTGATGGAAGCACATTTTCTTATTTTATGCAATTTTATGTACCTGCCTGTCAAGCTGACTGACCAACACAGTGTAACTTACAGAAGGTGAAGGCATCCATTCAAACGGGTCAGAGGCATATCAAGAAAACCATTACATGGGAACTACATTACAGAGGTACACAATTACAAGTCTGATCACCAGGGTTCATTACATATATTTACCTTTGATCAAGACATTGTTTTTGTAACACTGCATGTAGATTATATTAACACAGACATATTTTGTATGAACGGCTGTTTGCAACTTGTTGTATTGGCAAATTCAGTGAAACCACTGAAAGGCATTGCAGCTCCATTTAAAGACACTTATCAGCACCAAGTGCTCTAAACTTACTATGACAGGTATGCTGCATGCTGAAATAAAGATAATTTACTTACCAGCCTACTGGGAAAAAATTATTCCACTGTGGTGCGTTTATAAACTTTTGGTCAACGTGGTTGCTGCTAAGTGTCAATCATTCCCACCTCTTGAACTACAACCATTTTCTTCTGCTTATCCAGGACCGAGTTGCAGGACAGCAGCTTAAGCAAGGAAGTCTGTACCTCCCTCTTCCCAGCTATCCCCTCCATCATATCAGGGATAACAACGTAGCTGAGAGATATAATCTCTTCAGCATGTCTTGAACCTGGGTATCTTTTCTGGTGACATGGTTGAAAAACCTTTTCTGGGAGCCCAGGAGTCACCTAAGAGCTTTTCAGGTGCCTGAACTTCCTCAACTGGCAATTTCAATGTGGGGCAGTATTGACTCTACTATCAGCTTCTTACCTTATCTCTAACGAGGGGTCTGGTCAGTCTAGACCCTTTTGCTTTTGGTATCTTTCAGCTTCATTCACTAGCTCAGGCTCCTTCACCACTTGATAGCTGAGGATTGTGTGTCAGACCACCGCCTGACACACATTGGCTCTAACTCATAGGCCAAAGGTGTCAAACTCCAGGCCTCGAGGGCTGCTGTCCTGCTTGTTTTCCTACTAACTGGTAAATGGCCTGTATTTGTATTTGTATAGTCCTTAGAAAAGCGCTTTACACAACCAGTCATCCACCCATTTACACACACATTCACACACTGGTGATGGCAAGCTACATTGTAGTCACAGCCACCCTGGGGCGCACTGACAGAGGCGAGGCTGCTGGACACTGGCACCACCGGGCCCTCTGACCACCAGTAGGCAACGGGTGAAGTGTCTTGCCCAAGGACACAACGACCGAGACTGTCCAAGCCGGGGCTCGAACCGGCAACCTTCCGATTACAAGGCGAACTCCCAACTCTTGAGCCACGATCGCCCCTTGAAGCTTCTTAATGGCAAAGCACACCTGATCCAGGTAATTGGCAGCAGGTATCTCAAAAACAAGCAGGATGCTGGCCCTCCAGAACTGGAGTTTGACACCCCTGCCCTAGGAGATGGGACTACAGGAGTGAGCCCATCTATCTTCTTCGGGCTCTAACTAGCTAGGGTATGGCAGGGGTGGCAAACTCCAGGCCTCGAGAGCTGATGTCCTGCAGGTTTTAGATAACACCCTGGGTCAACACACCTGAATCAAATGATTAGTTCATTACTGGGCTTCTGGAGAACTTCAAGAAATATTGGAGAGGTAGTTTAGCCGTTTAAATCAGCTGTGATGGATGAAGGACACATCTAAAACCTGCAGGACACCGGCCCTCGAGGCCTGGAATTTGCCACCCCTTTATCACGATATATATTTGAAAATTTGCAATAACGATATAACTGACAATATAATTGATGCGAGACAAAATACAGAATACAACTTCACAACTTTACTAGCGCAAAAAAACCCATCAATTTATTTTCACTTAAACAAGCAGCTGTTTTTTTGTGTGCATTAAAGCTCACTGCACACTGGATTATAAGGTGCACTGTCGATTTTTGAGAAAATTTAAGGCTTTTACGAGCACCTTATAGTCCCATAAATATGGTAATAAATATGGTAATAACAATGGCCTTTTTGCATGTTCTACCAAAAAATTGTGCTTTGGTGGCTATCTGATAGACAAACACCAAACTAGTTCCACACCACTGAAGTTGCACCATTTTTACAAACCAATTCATCCATTTCACTCAACGATCCACTTTCCCCCTTCTCATCTTCCCTTGCCGCCATGCTTTTCCGGCCATGTGCGTATGAAGTCAAAGGCGCTGCACATGCGCGTTTTACCCATATTCTATATAACATTGTACCGGTATTACTGTGAACGGTATAATATGGCCCAGCCCTACTCCCTACCCAGGTCTGGTTCCAGGGAGCATGTTTCTGCTATTGATTGTGTATACAAATGTTTTTGTTCACACTATATTTTAATATATTTAAATAATGCAAACACTTAAAAAACTCATAGGTGATAGTTTTTACCTCCCCAGTCAACTCAAACACTGTGTCTGGCATTTATGTAGTTTATCGAGTTTAGGCTATCAGGTCACTGTTTACCTCATAATGTTGATTGTGGACATTCCCAACTATTTACTTTGGAGGAGATTATAAAACTTTGTAAAAGGAGTAAATGAGTCAGGGAACACTTGGACACTTGGTGATTGAACTCTCTGTGATGTGAGAATGTAATTAAACTGTTTATTGGAGGGAAAGTTGCATGTTGAAAATTCCTAATTGCAACAATATCATAAATAAATAAGCATGTTCATGCACCTTTGTGTGTGTTATACCCTTGACTAAAGTTCAGGCGATGAGGTTTGAGGTGTAGATGAGAGACAAAAGAGACCAGTGGTGGAGGAGGCATGTGAAGAACAGAAGGAGAAAGAAATAATGGGAGATACATATGGAGTGTCCAAATTCATGGGCTGCATCCTTCTGAGGCCGCAATTGTAGGCCGTTTATGTCACAATGACGCGACAAAGGCTGTCCAAATTTGTAGACTGTTCCGAATGCAGCCGACAAATGCGTCCTCCTTTTCCCCGAATTTGAAGGATGGTACGGGTGTGTCCTTCGTGGCCCACCATATCCCAGAATTCATAGCGCAGCCCAGCCAAGTTTTAATATTTCTCTTAATGCTCTTTTTGGGTCACAAATAAACTTTTAACATATTTTCAGGTGTGATTGTTGCTGTGTAAACTTCAAATATCTGCTTGGTTTATCAAGATATCACATATTTGCAGAAGTGCTCCGACGTTTTCAGAGACGTCTGTTATCCACCAGCTCGATAGCTAGCCGGGAGCTTGATGGTCAATAGAGCTGGCGAGAATAGCAAATTCACGGCACATCATTTCACTACCCAGGTTAATCATGATATATATGTCACTTAGATAACCTAAAAATGTTATTGTTTGGCTTTTTTCGGTTTTATTTGTTCGTGAGTAAATCGGTTTGGCTGAGGTTAAAGTTATTCGATTAGATTAGATAAAATAAAACTTCCCTTGGGTGGGTTCCTCCTTGGTTTTCACACAGCTGAATAAATGTCTAAGCTGTATTTAGGCATTTAAAATGTTTATCAGATATGTCCTGTCTTAGAGAACTCTCAGGAATCAGGAACATTCTAATAAGAGGTTTGTTAGGGTAGAAACAGTTAAGTGTTCCACCTCCTTTAGGTTAAGATGAGCAATTGGGGGGGTGCTCAGGTCATTGCATCAGCACCTCACCGTATAACCCTGACTTCAGCAAATATAAGAAAAAATTTTGGTAATTTTTTTCATCATCTCCAAAACTTTCCTCCTTGATCCTTTGCTCATACTGAGGCTACTGGCTTGTGACTGGCTCTGGCTATTTTAGCTTCAGCCACTTTCAGCAACCTTGTTACCTTCTTTAACAGGTTCATATTTAAGTTTCTGATAAGGGTTGTTAGAAACGTTTTCATGGCAGTCAACCTGCAGTTTACTTTGACGTTTTTGTTGACAGTGAGGAGCTTTGACATTAACAAAATGTGGTAACTGTAAATTTTACCAATTGAGACATCACTGTTTCAGTTTATGATCGTAGGTAGCTTTGTTCTTTTCCACAAAGGCTTTTTTGTTCAAACATGCTTGATATCATGTAGCACATACCATCGTTTCACAGTGTCGTAGCCTTTAGCAAGTCTACTTATATGGTCACAACATTATGCTCATAATCAAAATCCCTGAATGGGATTTTCACTTTGAGCTTCACTGTTGAGCTCTATTGTGACGGTGGTTATTAACTTTTCCTGTTCAGACAGTCTTTCTGCTTCCTGACACCAAAACCCAACATAAATGCTGCAAATATGACAAGAGCAGTGTCAGCAGAACCCTATTAAGCTTGTATATTCACAAATTTATATATTTATATATTTATATACTAATATATATAAGCTAGGTGCTCTTTATTTCTGATGTGACATTTACACATTTGAGCCCTGAAACTTTTAATTTTAAATTTAAGCATTGAAAATATGTATATATTTTCTGCTCATCAGGACCTGTAAATCCACCCCCCCAAGCATCTGAGGGTGCCTCGTGTGATGAAAATATTGTACATTCATATATTTCTTGAGCATGACTGGGACCTCACTGTGGCACCAGTTATGCTGAGCTTTGTAGTTTTTGTATAATTACATGAGTGACCTTGTTTGTTTGTTTTTTTTCTGTTTGTTTTAGTTCCTGAAGACCTCCCACAACTACACGACTGTGTGGAAAATGAGAGTGTGGATGAGCAGCAGGTCTGTAACCAGGAGATGAACTCCAGTTTAATCTTTTTCCAGATTAAAGAGGAACAGGAGGACCCAGAGCCTCCACAGATTAAAGAGGAACAGGAGGAACTGTGCAGCAGTCAGGAGGGAGAGCAGCTTGGACTGAAGCAGGAGGCTGATACCTTCATGGTGACTCTAACTTATGAGCAAAGTGACCACAGTGAACCAGAACCAAACAGTGAGCAGTACCTTCCTCTCAGCTCTCCTGAAGCAGAGCTGAAGAAGAGAACAGATCATGGTAAAAGTCTAGACGACACTCTTGTGTCAGACAGTCAGAGTAAAACTCATACAAGGAAAAATTCTGTGCAATGCAACACCTGTGGAAAAATGTTTCCCTATAGATCCCATCTGATTACACATCTGAGAGTTCACACAGGTGAGAAGCTGTATTCTTGTACCGTTTGTGGGAAAAGATTTGGTCAGAAATCCGATTTGGAACGTCATGTAAGAATTCATACGGGGGAGAAACCGTATTCTTGTGCTATTTGCGGTAAAAAATTCAGAGAGAAGTCAGGTATGGAGCGACATGTGAGAATTCACACAGGTGAGAAACCGCATTGTTGTAGCATCTGTGGGAAAAGATTCATTCAGATGATACAATTAAAGAAACACATGAAAATTCACACTGGTTAAGGTTTCATGTAGGACAGCTGTGAGTCATAGCAGCGTGTTGGTGGTAGAGCTCACACTGACCAGAAGTCAAATTACTGCGACACCTGAGTGAAAAGCCATTCTCGAAGTGAAGAGAGAAGCTCACTTTAAAAAAAAAACAACAACAACCCAGAAACATTGTAATTCTTTATCAATCAAAACACAAGAGTGATTTATTTGTTGAGACTTTTATTCGTAAAACAGAAGCAACAAAGGTCGTTGGTTATAAATTGATAATGCTGCCCATTCATACTTAGCATTAAGGCTAAAGTGTGACCCCCCTGCCACTGGGACACAAGCGTCAGTAAAAGAGCAGTACGTTCTGAGTAAACTAATCATGTTCTATGTTGGTTGTAATTCACTTTTTATTTGAATAAATGTATTTCTATAAATATGTAACTTAACCTTCTCCTAAGTAATGTAAAGCTGAATTTCTGTTGTTATTACTGCAGCCCACATGCAGTACCATCATGGCCCATCAGGAAGCACTGCCCTGCACTTTGCTGCCTTACTGTTAAAATTGTTTCAGGGAAAACCTGACATTCTTGCATTTCATGAAGGTTCTAGTTCAGTATGCTCCTGTTCTTTTATTTTATTGTTTATTGGAGTAATTATCCTTTGTCAAAGTTTAAATAAATATTTCATCAAAACTTCTTTTGAGTATTTTTTTTCTGTGGTATCTCTAGAAAATGCTTTCCCCGCTCTGGATTTCAGATAAATACGGCCCGGTGTATTATAGTTTCTGTTTGCCTTTCCATCCTTTAACGAGATGCACGAGTTGTAGCTGCAGTAACAACTTTGAATTTTTTTCTGAGTTTTCTCATTGCTTTTTTCTCATCAAATCAGTCATTATTTGTATTTTATTAGATTTTATGTCATTATGTGGTACAGAAAAATACTCAAATTCAGATTCCTGGTGCAAAATTTGAGATTGAGATGAAATTAACTCCAGAATCCAAAGGTCTTGAACAATATGAAAAGAAATAGCATGACACCGAGGCAAAGACTCGACAACCAGATATGAGGAGGAGAGTTAATTCACCCCCAGGGGGAAATTTACAAATTCCAGCATCCTGGATGAATTTGAGGACGTTCTGTTCCTTTGGCTCACCTTTTTCAGACTGAAGACATGCTATTATGTTTTATCTGTTTTTATTTTTCAGTTACAGAAGAAATGCATTGAATAAAACAAAGTTTAATATTATTATTAGTCTGAACTGGATTATTATTATTATCATCATCACAGCATTCGTTTAAGCAGATTTCTAAAAAGCCAGCAGGATAAAACAGAGTGAGACTTTGTGCCGATGTAGAGCTGCATGACTGTGCTTAAAGTGCCACAAAGTATACATCAAGACTAAATATAAGCACTTAATGGCATTCTGTGTTTTACAAGCTGTTTATTGAAAAAAAACAACTTTAATGTTCTGATTGAGTTAGCTTATTTTTGTAGAAAATCGGGGGCTTCCTTTATTTCCTGAGTCATCATTGCTTATATCTTCATCCTTTTTCAGTGAGTGAAGTAAGGGACTTTTCCAGCGCAGTGTTTAGAGTGCTTCATTTGGTGAAAGCTCATAATGCACATTTCAGATAACTAATAAATAATTCAGATCTAAGGATATTGATGGAATAAAAGGCACACAGTTATGTGCTCAATGTTCTGCTAAATCCTCAATACAAACATATTACACTGCAATGTAATGAACACGGTTACACAAAGACTGTCTGCAAATATTTACTAAACCGTTCTATGTACTACAGCATGCACGTAATGGTAAACATACTGGGTGCAGAATTAATTTAACTCCGCGGTCCCAGACCAGTTTATGTCCGACAATATTTTCACGGATCAATACAACAAAATAAAACCAGTACCGCTACCAGAAAATTGAAGATTTATTCATAACACATGGGAAAAGACCCAGGGAAACAGAGTTAATGATAAACACATTAAAAAAATGTAACTATAAAAACTATAAAAACCCTGAAAACCATAAATTTCACACCCGAGCCTCAGCTCTCGCGGCACCTGTCTGTGGCTAATAAATACTGGTCCTTGTCAGGCCACCTGAGTCCAAAAACTGGTGGTAACATAGCCAGAAATAAAATTAATATTTACTGAACTGTAAAGCTTAAGTCACGTAAATCACTAGTATTTCAAAACGAGTCTGTTAAATATTCCTGATTTATCTGGATGCAGCAGACACAAGATACTCCAATAATAGTCGTCTGTATATAAAATGATACTGAGCTAAAGTATTAATATTTACCACAGAAGGTAAAGAAAGCTTCTCCAGATGAAACCCAAGCCAAATGAAGCCTGTCGGTGTAATGGTCACCCTTGAACTTTTTCACCAGTGCAAGTGCAATGCAGTAGTTGAGAAATGCGTACAGAAGAAAAGATAACTACTATGAAAAATTATTCACTTTTACACAGATTTTTTCTTCTTTTACAGTCTTGGCTTGTTAATTCTGAATGAAACCTATAAAAACTTTGTGATCTGTTTTCCTGTTTTTCTTCACAGGAAACCAGACTGATAGTCACTCTGTTCTCTCCAGCACTCTGTATTTCATCAATATAACCATTCTGACCTTTAACCCTTTCCATTTTGAAATATGATGTGTGGAGCGTAAAACCATTGTGTTTATTACTGATGATATACCAATGAAAGCACTGTAAAGTCCCCTTCAGTTTGAACTCTCAGTAAACTTGATCCAACACTGGAAAATCACATAGATCAGCACTAGATGACAATTTATTGTTGTTCTCATTTCATGCGTCACGTCTTTGAGAAGGATTGCATCTCACAACATATAGACTGTTCTGAGCACGAGTGATCAATATATAATGTCTGTTTGTTTTATTTATGGGACTTCATTAAAGCTTTTTATTCCCACATTTTCACTCTGAACATAATGGAAGATGGACTGTGCTCTGTTAATGGGAGATGTTTTTGCAAGGGAGTGAGATAATCAAGTCTTATGGCTCAGAGTAATGGTGGTAATCAGAGGGCACGAAAGTCCCTGTTTTTCTGATGAGATCATGAGGGGGATTTGACATAAAGAGTGGGTGAGTGAACCACTCTATAAAACTGAGAGCCCTTGATGTAAGGAAGTTCACTTTCGGTTGTGCTCTGGTCTGTGTCTCTACAGCTTGATCTCCTCCTTTTTGTCTGTTTTGTCTTTTTTAGTTTTCTTGGTGTATTGAAAGTTTCTTTCAGTGAACTATTCTCCATATTAATGTTTCATCTCCTGTGGAGTTTTTTTTCTTTGCATGCTTAAAAAAATGCTTGTAACATCTGGCTTGATTTTTTTTTTTTTTTGTTCAACAGCTGACCACTGACAGCAAATTTTCTGGTTCCTTTGCTCTGACATATTTACCAGCTGAAGGACTGGTGTAATCTCAAAACTTCAAAGAACAGAGAGGATAAACTCAGAATCTGAAGCTGAAACACACTTTGATTTTCTGTGGAGAAAGAGAAACCAGCATATTTACTGCTGCAAAGAGGACAACAAAGAACATCTCACTATGGATCTCTGAATTCCAGGAGAACTCGGGCTCTCGTCATGATAAGGTGATGAAGATTTTCTTTTTTTACTGATCAACAGAGTATCTGTTAGGTCTGCATAATGGATGAACATAAATGCCATGAAACAGTCCAAGCTGCAGCAGAAAGGAAGAATGATGTTTTACACTCAGCAGCAGAGCCAGAGACCAGAGCTGGATTCTTAAGATATTTGCATAAAATTACACTGGATCCAAACACAGCACATAAAGAGCTCGTACTATCTGAAGGGAACCGAAAAGCAACATTAAAAGAAGGCGGACAGTTTTACTCTTGTCATCCAGAGAGATTCACTGAATATGAACAAGTGCTGAGCAGAGAGAGTCTGACTGGACGTTGTTACTGGGAGGTGGAGTGCAGAGGAGGAGCAGTTTATGTAGCGGTCGCATACAAGAATTTCAGCAGAACAGGAGGTTTATATCACTGTGGATTTGGACTAAATGAGAAATCTTGGGCATTACGTTGTGACACAAACAGTTATATATTTTACTACAACAAAGTCCAAACTGACCTCTCAGGTCCTCGGTCCTCCAGAGTAGGAGTGTACCTGGATCACAGAGCAGGTATTCTGTCTTTCTACAGCGTCTCTGAAACCATGACTCTCCTCCACAGAGTCCAGACCACATTCACTCAGCCGCTCTGTGCTGGACTTGGTCTTGTGTGTTATGGAGTCACTGCTGAGTTCATTCAAGTTGAGACTGAAACACTGGGTGGACTGAGCTTTTGCTGTTGTGGCCCCAAAATTAAGGAATAACTTGCCCCTCCATGTTAGGCTGGCCCCAACACTTGAGACTGTTAAATCACTTGAAAAAACATACCTTCTCGGATGAGAGGTAAAACGTCTTCAAGCAACTTAAAGAAGTCCAGACGCTTTTCTTTGCAAGCTCTTTAGTTTGTTCATTTTATTTATTGTATATTTTATTTTATTCATTTTTACTATTTTTTATTTATTTATTTTATTGTTATTGTATTTTCTTTTTCTGTGTAATGATTGGTTTTCTAACTTTTATCACTGTTTTTCACTGGAAAGTACTTTGGTCAACCATGTTGTTTTTAAAGTGCTCTATAAATAAAGTTGGATTGAAGTAAAACAAATAGGTTTATCTTGAGCTCTGATTTTCAGAGTGTGCCTCAGGGAAATCCAGCCCCCCTAAAACAAAAGAGTGCACAAAGTATGTGCAAACTCGTTCGTGGTCGGAGTGGGTGGGCTGTCCCATCTCGCTTCCATCGCAAAAAACGAAGTTCAAAAAGACTGAAAACAAACGTGCAATAAAGTCACAAATTTAAGAAATGCCAGAGGGTTTTTTCTCAACGTGGCCCTAAATCTCCTTTGTAGAGAGAGCCACACACCAAACGCAAAAAGCGTTTACTGAATCAGTCACGTGGTACGGCCGAACGTCAACACGAAGGTCATCAAAACGAGCCCGACACAGACGTCTGTCATTTTTTCCCTGTCCACGTTTCACTCCAGTAGGTGGCAGTAATACACCTGTAAGCTGGTTTGCCAACTGCCATCAAGCTCAGAAGAAGGAGAAGGAAGGAAGTGGAGGGCAAGTGTGGCTGTTTGAGTGGAGCGGTGTGTGCAGACATGGCTGCTTTTTAACGAAGCGGACTGAAGTCGGAAGAGAGACACAAACTAAAGTATTGATCCCGTCACATCAGTGTGGATCTGATCCCAACGTCGGCTTCACGTCATCGATGCTTGTATCGATCCGCTCAGCCCCAGCCTCAGCAGCGATGAGTTCAGCTCAGTATCTGAGAGAGTTCATCAAGGAGAGACTAACTGCTGTTTGTGAAGAAATCTTCTCAGAGGTTCAAAAACCCATCGTCCAGTATGAGGAGGAGATCAACCGTCAGCACAGACTGCTGGATATCAGCCGGAAACCCGACAGAAGCTCACACATCATAGGTATGGACGTGTTTTTAACTCTGTGCTGTTCAAGCTCAGATTCTTCAGTGTTTGGTTGATTGGTGATAAATCTGAATCTTTGTTCCTCAAGACCCCCTACAACAACACAACTGTAAGGAAGAGGAGGACCCAGAGCCTCCACAGATTTACAAGGAACAGGAGGAACTCTGCAGCAGTCAGCAGGGAGAGCAGCTTGGACTGCTGGAGACCATCTGTGAACCTGATATAATGTCACACAGAATAGGTATGTAAACTGTGATGGTAGTAATAAAAATGAATTAGGCCTGCAGCTATTGATTATTCTATCAAATAATGGATTAATTGGATAAGAAGTACTTTTGTCTCATTAATGTACAATAATAAATATTATAAAGAGAAAAAACACTTTCAGAGTGAACAGAGGGAACTTGAGGCTTGTTAGGTTGGACACTGAAGTATTATTATTATTAAATAAAATCTACACCATCAAAACATCTTGTTCTCTTTTCAACAGCACAAAACTGTCCTTTGATTAAAATCAGAAAGTCTTCCAAGAGGACAAAATAAATTTTTTATGCCATAGTTTAGATTGCAGATATCTATATGAAATATATTATTTGGCTTTGATCCTTGACTGTACTTGAAATTAACCTAAATACTAAGAGAAAGATCACGTGTGTCCTGCATGAGGATAGGGATTTGTGTTGGTGTGTGGGGCTGTAGCCTGTAAGTTTATATAAATCCAAAAGTAATGTAATGAACAGTGTAACGAATAACTCCTTCCAGGTGGAAATAACTGTAACAATGACCTGACACACACAGTGTTTGACGTGTTGTTTTCTTTTATTTTGCTTGCTTTAGCAGTTCGCGTTTTTGGTTTGGTTTGTACCATCAGCTCTTAAACATGCTATAATCCAACCTGTTCTTAAAAAAAAGTAACCTCGATCAAAATGATTATGCCAATTATAGGCCGATTTCCAAACTTCCCTTCGTGGCTAAAATTCTTGAGAAGGTAGTTCTGCTTCAACTTCAGACCTACCTGGATGAGAATAACATTAATGATAAATATCAATCGGCCTT